AGTACGCCAACTCCTACCGTATCGACGTCACCAAGTAGCTGGCACCACATATCTCACACCACATAGTTGTGCACGATAACCCCTAAACCAACACGTCCATTGCACCACATAGCTTACACAACGTAGTTCACTCCACATACATTGAACAACATAATTTGCACCACGTAGCTTACATCGCATACGACGCAACACAAAACCTTCAAGAATACCACTGGTTCGGGTCCGCGCCGGTTGACATGTTCTATTGTTCAGAACGTCCAAGACGGTCCACAAGGCCTCGAAGTCCCACCCAGTAAGGCCTCCGAGGCTCCCACAAGGGGCCCCGGAGGCTCCCAGGAGGCCCCCGAGAGGCGGAGCTCGAACAGCAACTCGGAACCCGACAGACCAAGATGGCCGCCGAGATAGCCAGCAAGTCCCAAAGGGATGTCCCCGAGGCCTCCCAAGGCTCTCCAAGGCTTCCAAGATGACCCAGGAAGGCCACCAAGGGTGCCAAGATGGCCCAGCAGCAGCCCCCAAGAAGAACCCCAGAGGCGCCAAAGGGGCCTCAGGAGGCCTCCAAAAGATGAAAGTGAAGTCCAGGAGGCCCTCCAGAGTGGTCAAAATCATTGAAAACCTAAGGACGTCTATAAGCTGCATGTTTTACACCATTATGGGGGAAGCTCCTGCAGCCCACGGCGTGCGCTTCAGCACTACGTTTTCGCCGAGCGAGACCGTTCCAGCAGTTCGAGCAGAATACCGGGGTATCAGGGCTGCGTCGCCGTCGTGGCCGCCGTCACCGTCGCCGTCGCCGCCGTGGTCGTCGCCGTCGCCGCTCTCGCCCTCGCCCTCCCCTCGCCCTCGCCCTCGACGTCGCCGCCGTGTCGTCGCCGTCGATGCTCTCGCCGAAGCCGCCGTTCTCGCAAATGCCGTTGCCGTTTTTTCCGCCGCCGCCGTCGCCGTCGTTGTCGCCTCGGGTGTTGTCGTCGGCGCTGCCGCCCGTCGTCGCTGCCGCCCGTCGTCGTCGTCGCCGCCGTCGCCGTCGTCGCCGTGGTCGTCGCCGTCGCCGCCCTTGCCGTCACCATCGCCGCGTTCTGGCCACAAACTCTCATTAGCCAAGCATCACACTGACTGTAACCGAGGCGGCACTATGAGGTGCTCCCAAAAACCGGCACTGTTCCCTCTTTTTTACTCCTTCTACTCCGCTGCTCTTCTATACGCCGCCCTCGCCGTCACCGTCGCCGCCCTTTAGCCACACACACACACACACGCAGACGCACACCACACACACACACACACGCACGCACGCACGCGCGCGCGCGCACGCACGCACGCACGCACGCACGCACGCACGCACGCACACACACACACACACACGCACGCACGCACGCACGCACGCACGCACGCACACACTCACACTCACACTCACTCTCACTCTCACACCCATACACACACACTCACACACACTCACACACACACACGCACACGCACACACTCGCACACTCGCACACTCGCACACACTCGCACACACTCACATACACACCATACACACCATACACACCCCACCACACACCACCACACACCACCACACACCACCACACACCACCACTCAACACTCACACTCACCACCACACTCAGCACCACACACCACCACACACCACCACACACCACCACTCACCACCACACACACTCGCACTGACACTCGCACTCGCACTCGCACTCACTCTCGCACTCGCACTCTCACTCGCACTCGCACTCGCACTCGCACTCGCACTCGCACTCGCACTCGCACTCGCACGCGCACGCGCACTCGCACTCGCACGCGCACTCGCACTCGCACTCGCACTCGCACTCTCACTCGCACACGCGCACGACGCGCGCGCACGCGCACACGCACGCGCACGCGCACGCGCACGCGCACGCGCACGCGCACGCGCACGCGCACGCGCACGCGCACGCGCACGCGCACGCGCACGCGCACGCGCACGCGCACGCGCACGCGCACGCGCACGCGCACGCACACGCGCACGCACACGCGCACGCACACGCACACGCACACGCGCACGCGCACGCACACGCACACGCACACGCACACGCACACGCACACGCACACGCACACGCACACGCACACGCACACGCACACGCACACACAACACACTCACACACAAACAAAATCGCAAAACATAACGCTGACTGTAAGCGAGGCGGCACTGTATGGTGCTTGTGCAACCCTGACATGTCTTCCTCTTTCTTACTCCTTCTACCCCGTTGCTCTTCTACAAGCTGCTCAGCATGCCTTGCGTTGCTCTGTGGCATCTTGAACCTGCTTGTCCAAATCCTTGATGCTCTTCTCAAGGCTGGCGATCTCCTCCTTGACCGGCAACGGACCAAACCGATCAAGCAACACGGACGGCTTGATTACCCGAACGTTGCATTCTCTTCTACCGCGCAGACGGCGCATCCCATCATTGGTCCGACCATCCTCTGTGTCACCCCCAACCCTTGCCCCGTACAAAACTCTCGATCCGCCTCACCCTATCTCCTTCGGCTGTCTCAATCGCTTCATCCGCTTTCATCGGCGCACTCCTTCGCCAGGCTTAGGATGTCTTGATTGCTTCAATGCGCGCTCGCTGGATTTCTCGAACACTTGTCGGGATCGTTCTTTCGTCCTGGATGGTTTTCGGAGGTCCTTGGGCACGAGAACTGCACTCGGAGGCGAACAACATGGGAACGTCTCCGCCTTGCCTTCCCCAAGCCAAATGACGCCGGCCTCTCTCTTCTTGTTCTTCCTCCTCATCCTCCCTGCTACCCCTTCCTCTGTACATCTCTGACAACTTCCGAAGGCCTTCCAAGGACTATTCCAAGAACAGCCGAATACTTTGGAACGCCTGGTTAAAAGCCTTCTCGTCGTTGTCCTTGTCATCCTCCCCTCCCTCTCTTCGCTCCTCTTTTCCTCCTTCTCCTCATCGCCCTTCTGGTCGTCGTCGTTCACCTTCTTCTGGGCCTGCTAACACTCTTGAGATATCTTTTTTCCTCCGCCAGCGGGAAGCCGCTCCGGAGATGAACTCATGGGGAACATTAGGAGGGGACCCGAACAGGGGGGCTTCGACATGGCATCTTGCCATCGCTCGCGCGTCCATTCCTCGTGCACTTTTCGCTTTCCTGCGTTTATCTTCTGGTGAGATGACCCCGTCTGATCCTCGATGGCCCTCGCCGGAACAAGAACGCACACGTCCGAGCGATGCCAAGAGATCGGCGGCACACTGCCGACACATCGGCGGCAGGGCTCCGATGGCGCACCTGCACGCTCCTGCACGGGGTGGGCCGTCGGGCCACTGTCGGCAACGAGTGGGACCTGGGACACACAAACCAATAGACACAAATAACAGGATTCCCCATACTTTCTGGGTTTTGTGTTCCCCCCCCCCACTTCCCATATTTTCCCATGTCTTTTTGGACATCGACGGTTCATTGTGTCTCTGTGTTTTTTTCCCTCCTGAGATTGGGGGGCCCGATGCATTCCCCCCGTGAGCCGCCAGTCGGGCCTGGGCCAGAAGGGGGCCCCTCGAGAGCACGAGACCCTCCGTCGGCCAAAGCAAAGCGAGCATCTGAGGGTGCCCTCCCCAGGATGCACAGCAGACATCCAGTGGGCCCGAAGAACACCAGGGCTCCCTCCCGGAACCGACCTCGACCTCACACCTCGGCTCGGCTGCATCGCCTCGCCGTGGCCCCGGGCTCCCGGGCCATTACTCAGCTCTGCTGCGGCCGTTCGGAACAGTCCGGGCAGCCGGGTAGTGCCCTCGGCGAGGCGCAGCCGCTGGATAGCATCCCGAGGCTGGAAAACTGCCGGGAACCGACGCAAGCGTCCGAACACCTCGGACCTCGCGCATCAGCGATGACTGGGCGATTGGGGATCGATGCGTTCCCCCGCTGAGCCCATCCCCAGCGCTTCGGGAGCGTCCAAGGTGGGGGCGTCCAAGAAGGTTCGCAAATCATGACCCGAAGCATGTGTGTGCCCCAGGTGGGTGCCAGGGAACGTATTGATCAGAAGAGGGGCCATGAAATCTGAGGAGGTACATTCCCAAGACTGCCTAAGGCGACTGGCAACACGCTCCTTCCCCCCCTCCTCCTGATCCCTCATTCTCCCTCCTGCCTCCTCGAGGTGAAACTCACAAACTATCGAACAAGACGGGTTCGCACGGAGCGTCCCAGAGCGTCCCGGATCGGCGGCACAGCCGGAGGCCTCTACCCCAGGACGAAAATGTTTTCCTCCAGGGCCTGGACATGATGGCTTCAGCTCTTGCGCCAGCGCACATGATACACCTTGGCGGATCCCATAAACTTGTGCGGATCTGGATTTGGTCTGGATTCGCGTTGCGGTGGATCCGATTTCCGTCCGCGCGGGTTCGATTTCAGATGCTGTGGATATGATCTCCGTTCTGCCTTTTCACGCGAAACGTTCTAAGGTGGACAAGGGTTTGGCTACGAAATGCCACAGACAAGTCGCGCGTTGTCACGGACCCCATCCACACCCACCGCACACGGATCGTACTCAACACGAACATATCTCTCATCCCCTGGCTGCTGCGATCAGCTGGTCCAGATGCCGTGCGTTTGGCGGCACCGATGCTCTCTCGCCAACCGCTTACCGCCGATGGCGCATCAACAAAGACATCTTTCGTTCTGCGTCGTCGCGCCCCCTTTTTTTATAGAGCAACACATAGCGGCTCACACATACTTCCTCTGAGGTTCGCACGGATTTTTTGGCTCGGCGCTGGACCTTTCTCTTTGACGCGCGGAGCGCGCCAGGCGCGGCGCTGGAGGCACCTCCAGGGGGGCCCCATCGCCGACTCGAAGGCGCCGAGCTCCGAGGAATTACGCTTGTACAATTCTTCTCCTTCGGGTCATCACCCCCCTCTCGGCCGCACGCGAACGCTGCCCGCGGTCCAGGCTGAGGAGGAGGAGGAGGAGGAGGAGGAGGAGGAGGAGGCAGAGAGTGAAGAGGAAGGAGGTCCAGGCTCCTTTTGCCCTTGTGACGCCGGGGGGGGGCCAGGTCCCGAGGGGTGGCCGCGTGGCCCGGCAGGGTCCGCCCTCTGCGGCGTGCGCAGCGCGGCGCGGCGCCTCGCTTGCGGAGGGGACCGAGGGCCGGTGGCTGCAGCGGGGGCGGATAGCTCCAGGGGGAGGGCATTACGGATACCCAGGACGAGGAGGAGGAGGAGGAGGAGGAGGAGCGAGGAGGAGGGGGAGGAGGAGGAGGAGCGAGGGGGAGGCGGCGCGAGGAGGAGGAGGATCAGGAGGATGAGGAGCAGGAGCAGGAGGACCAGTGTAAACCCAAGACTCGTAGATATTATTAACGCTCCCCTCGCCACCTTCTGTTTCGCCGCCGTTGCCCTTCATCTGAATGTTGCCGGCGCCCTATTATCAACATTGACATTGATATTAACGCAACTATCTCTGTTATCAAATGAAAAAGATTCGCGCGCGCCCGGCCTCCCCTCCCGTCGACCCGTCGGCTTACACATACATCGTATAGCAGATTCGCTTAATGGACATCCTAGTCATGGCGTCAAGTAGAACCTCTCCGAGACTCAACTTGGGAGAACTTCTAGAAGATCATGTGCCTTGATGCGCAGACCAAGAGCCTATCAACAGGATCCATATCATGCTCGAGTCCATGGTGAATGGGCAAACTTCCGGTTATCAGCCGAAAGCTTCACCACGAGATCACGAAGCTTTGCTTCATGTCTCGAAAGTGGATGCGCCAAGAAATGAAGAGCAATGCCACGGCTGAAAAATAATTCAACATATCGTCTTCGAGCCCGAGTCCCCTGACTGTGTCTGGGGCTCCGGCTCGCGTTCTTCGCAGAATATCAGCAAGAACTTCTCGCTGTCGTCGGGAGATGCGACGGCAGAAGAAGGCCCTGGCCGCCGTGGCACTCCGCGTGCGGACGCAGAGGCAGACGCCGAGTGGTATGGATCAAGCAACTCGGACGAGCAACCATTGCTGCCCGGCGTCCATCAAGCCTGCGTGGCCTCCTCCGACTCCTCGGATGAACAAACGGATGACCACGTAACAGTCTCGTCGGAAGACGCGGGATCAATCAAGTCGACCCCCCGCCTGAACTGGGAAACGGCTGCTGATTCCTATTCGGGGGGTGGCTCCGAGGCCTGCGGTCTCGGGGCATCCCCGATGTCGGCTCAGGAACCGTCACCGACGTCAGTACATTTCGACGACTGTGTCGCCGAAGCCTCGCGGGAAGATCTACGAGGTGAAGTGGCAGAGATGATGGCCGGCATGCCTGCGGCCGCTCGCAAAATGCCGAAGAGGCAACCAGGTCGAGGGTACCCGCGGCGGAGCAGCCACGGGAGGCCATCTCAGCCTGTCAGTCAGATGCCCACTCGTGCAGCGGACCAAGCGCAGGGAATACCAAAGGAGAACCAGGTGCTCGAACCAGGGGTGGGGGGAGCCCGGGGGCTGTGCACCTGGGTCGCCCCCCCCCCCCACCGGTCACTCTGCAAAGGACATCGCGCGCGGGACGCCTGGCGCTCAGTGCGACGAGGGTCACCATCCCTCGCGCTCGGTCACCGCGGGCCAGAGGCACGGGACCCGACCGACGTAGGACTTCGGACATCGAGGGCTCCGTCGGGAGCATCGTCGTCCTCCGCTCGCACGGCGCGCTCCAACGCACCGAATTTTCGCATCAATGAGACATGTGCCGAGAGAGGCCCTGGGTGCGCGGCATTCCCTGAACACTGCTCCCCAGGAAATCGAGGACAGTGTAAGAGGGCGGTTTGTCGTGCATTTTCGGTCAGCTGCCACGTGTGCAAACTTGATATTCCTCTGCCCAGACTGTCTTCCTCTCTCGCGCATAACTGCTTGGCACTGCGTAGCCTCGACATGGGAGCAGGCCGAAGGGAGAAGGCGGGAGGCAATAGCCGACGAGAAGGGACCGCGAGATGGCACAAATGAGAAACCAGATCATGATAAGAAAAGTTCAACAGCGCGCAGCTGCTCGTGTCCAGGCCGAGAACAACCGTATCACGATGAGTCGCGCCATCAAGCAGGCTGAGGAAAAGGCAGCAAGACTTCGCCTCAGAGCAGGCGAATGCGGGCGTCAGTCAGCAGAGCTCCGTGAGCTGGCCAGCCAGGTCGAGGCCTCGGCAGCCGCCGAGAACCGTGCTCAAACCCTCGAGCAAAATGTCGCAGAGGAGGCCAAGCGTGTCGTCTGGAGGCTGGAGAGGCCCAGCAGGTGACGATGGCCAGAGACGCTGAATAGCAAGGCGGCTGAGGCACGCAACGCTCTCCTCGAGGCGGGGGCGAAGGCGGCGGCTCGACGGGCTCAGGCAGATCGACTGAACGCCGAGGCTGTTGCGAAGAAGGCATCGGCCGAGAACGCAGAGGTGATGAGGCAGGCGCAGGGTGAGGTGAGCGACACCCGCCAACAGGCGCGCGAACTATTGCCCGAGCGGCAAGCGCGGACTGGGTTCGCGCTGCCGCTGAGGTTCGCGACGCACTGGAAAGGACTCATCGGATCGAGCAGCAAGCGAACGACGAGGTGAGGTAGGTAGGTTGGGCCGCGGTGGCGCGGCCTTGCCCCGAGGGCCGAGCGCAGCGGCGGCGCCCGCCGCGGCCGCGCTCCCACACGCCTGCTGAGGCCAGCAGGCGCGCCCCCTCTCGGAGGACGTGGGGGAGCAGAGGCGCTGAGGAAGTTCAGCGAGAGGTCGAACTCGAAGACCAGGAGGTCGGAGCCGACGATCCATGGAGAACTGGGGGGCACGGCGCCAGCAACTGCACCGACAGCAGGCTGAACTTCAGGTGCGCCAGCAGTGGGAGAGGTAAACCTCCCGGATGAGCCTTGGAGCGGCCACGGTCGACGCGGCTCCTCCGCGGGCGGTTGCGCCCAGGCCGGCCACGCTTTTGCGCCGCGCCTGGGTGGGCTATGGTGCTTCTTGTGTGACAGACTTGCTGGCCACGACTGTGTGCGGAGCAACGGGTCATTTTGTGACGTTCGCTACGATGCGATTGAAAACAAATGCGTCACTTGTGTCGACGATTCGGCGGAGAAGGACCGGGAAGCTGGGAGAAAGCATGGGAGAGAAGAGGAAGAAGAACGTGAAGCGAAAAGGAAACTCGAGGAACGGATCGCCTCCCAATCCGCACCTGGAGCGGGACCATTTGACTGCTCGCCGCTGCCCAAGGCGTCTCGCGACTGTGTCTCGAGCTCCTCGGAACACGTGGACGAGCTGAAGGCAGAAGATGACGTCTCCAGACGACTGAAGGCTTTCGAAGACTTTGCTAGAGCCGAGCACCAGAGGCTTTCGGAGATGCTCGCGGGAGCGATGCGGAACCAGGAGAGTCACGTCGAGGCGAAGGCCAGGAGGCAGGAGCTGCGCGCTGAGAATCGCAAGGAGGCTGCTGCCACCGCCGAAAAGCCGGCTCAGGAAGAAGAGGAGAAAGCCAGGGAGGAGGCCGAGCGCCGCTCGAAGAAAGATAAGAAAGCGGAGCGAGCTCAGGCGGTCCCAGCCACTTCTTTCCCTGGCTGCACTCCGCCTGGCCCCGAGAAGCCAGGCGGTGGTGGCGGTGGTAGAAGCAGCGCCTTCCCAAGGGGAGGAGCAGGACGAGCCCGAGCCAGCCAAGGCAGCACCAGCCAAGCAGCAGCGTGACCCTGGCCCGCCGCGCGACGACGACGATGATCAGGACGGCGACTGGGATGAGGACTCCGACGACTCAGACTCGGAGGACGACGAAGAGTCGTCCGACGAGGAGGACATCGATGAGGGAGACCTTCGGCGTGGCCGATGCAACGGGCCGCCCGGCGGTCCGCCCGCCCCACGGCGGAGACGGGGGCGGCGCTCTCCCCGACGGAGTGCCGGGCACTGCTGCCTACTGGAACGACGCGGGCAAAGCGGAGAAGGTGAACATCGAACCCATCCCCGACGCAGCTGGCTACAGGAAGTGGGGTAGAGGAGTGGTCCGCCACGTCGCGTCACGCTCCCCCAATTGGCAGCAGCCCGCGGAGTGGATCCTGGAAGCGTTCAACATTCAGAAGGTCAAGGCCGGGGCGTTCCAAAACTCTGGAAACTTTGGCGGGCTCGATGTGAAGAAAGATCAATCGAATCTCGAAAGACATCAAATCGTCGCCTCCACTTCGCCATCTGGCTACCGCGATCGACCGCCTCGATACCGCCATGCTCAGAAAAAAAAACATATGTTGAAAGGTCGTGCAATTCTGCAAACCATTGCCGTGCATGTGACCATCCGTGAGGACCATGGTCAGGTGCACACGTACCAGGACTTGGACATCAATATTCGTGGTATGGGCAGAGAAGCGGGCGCCGATCTCTCTCACTTGATGAAGGTCATGGGCGAGATGGAGAAGTCCCATACATAAGCCATTCCGCCAATCCATCCATGAAGATTTCGACAAAGAAATGAACAAGTGCCCGTGCATGTCCATGACTCTCACCATGTACGATCACAACAACGACGAGTCTTGTGAAGGGATGACCTTCATCCGAGCGGTTGCTGGGTCAGACTCGCAGGCGCACTAAGACAGACCGTGGCTCCCACAACCGCGCCGCGCAGCGAAAACATCTCAACACCCGTGGCCTCTGTGGCAGGCGCGGGTGGCAGTGGCGGTGGCGGTGGTGGGGGTGGCGGTGGAGGCGGAAGCAGTGGAGGCAAGGATTCCCTCTGCATGAAGGACGGCCGCCTCAAGAAGTCGGTGGCATGCACCAAGTGCGAGAAAGGGGCCTGTCCTCGCGCGCGTGCGACATGTCCTTGCACGCATCCCAAGAGCGGCGCTCTGGCTCAGGCCGCACCGGCCTCGTCTGATGCAGCCCCAGGCGGCAAAGACGGCAGCAAGTCCGAAGTCCAAAGGGCGAGGGAAAAGGCAAGGACCGCGGCAGGAGCCGAGACCACGGAGATTGTGAGGCGAACGGAAGATATGACCGTCAGAGACCCCAGAGCAGCGCCTCCAGCGGTAACTCCTCCAAGAAGGACTGTGCTGTACGCGTTCAGCAGAGGTTCTTGCCCACTCGCGCAAGATGAGTGCCCGCGTCAACATCGGAATGCCACTGCTGAAGAGCAGATGTCTCGTGACAAATGGGAGGCGCATCTTGAGAAGACCGGGACGTCCGTGCCCTACGAGCACAATACCGACCAATAGCTCAGAACATCAAGAGGAATGCTGCTCCAGGCGGGACTGACGTCAGTAAGGTGAAGGGCAGCAAGGGGAAGGGCAAGGGTAAAGAAAAGAGACAATACTGGAGGCATATGGCCGGTCAAACCTGTCCCTTTGGAAAAAGACTATTGGGCCAAGCCAAGACCCCATTTTGGACGCCTGAAATGGGTACGGAAAAAATGGGTACAATGCCCAACAACAAATGTTGTCCCAAACCAACAGCGGCCGCTGTTGGGCAGGCGGCCTTCTGTCTCAAATGTACACAGGCCGCGGCGACACCGACAGCGAGTCCTGTTCAAAATGAAAAAGAACGGCTGTTGGGCATTGTACCCATTCTTTCCGTACCCATTTTGTTCGTGCCGACCCATGGCACCTGTGACGAGGGGGTCGGTGCCTGGGGGCTGCGCCCTGGCACCGGCCTGAGCGGGACGGACGCAGGCTGTGCCTGTCCACCGTGGCCCCGATAACTATGACCGGCGGTCCCACGGCGTGAAGATTGATCCGAAGCCAGGGTCAGACTGTAATTACCAATTGGATTCGACCACATCAATCTTTCCTTCGAGTCGGTGGCGACGATGATGGCACTCTCGCGCCACTATTGTTCAAGGCGAAACTGCTCCTGCCCCCACCGTGGGACGATGGTTAACTCGTTGCGGAGCATGCAGGAATCGCTTAGGAGCACTCCACTGTCTTCATTGTCGTGCGCCCATATTCTTCTTCCCGAATCATTCAGGCGCCCAATGACCCTGGCGCATCAGTGACGTGATATAGGTTTCGCCAAAGTGATCGGAGGAGTAATCGACCGGGAGTCTTGGGACTATGTCCCTGGCCCCGTGCCGAAGGCCACGAGGGTAGCTCTTCCAGGCTGGGCTACGGACAAAGGGGTCAATAAATCGTAGAAAAAGTGGGCCCAGCCCAATGCCTGTGGAGCGGCGTTCCGCCGCAACCAGGCCCTGGAGGGCCAGACCGCGTTTCCGGAAGACATGGCGCCGACCGATCAGAACGTCTACCAGCAGAAGAAGGCGCAGAAATTCGGGAAGCGCTGGATCAATTGCCAGGCGCACGCTGGCACTCTGGCCATGGGCCCGGACGCAGTCGTCCATGCAAGGGTCTGGCGGCCATACATCAGCAAGAGGCTGGCTCTTCAACAGCAAACTACTCCGTTCCCGAGCCGTTCGATTGGGAGTACTCGCACCCTGAGGACATCGATGCAGATGAACCATTGGATGGTTGGGAGCAGTGGCTCGCCAAAGCCTGCCGCCCTGAGCTCTTCAGACTCTCGCAGACTTGCAGGCGGAGATGGAGGAGGAGATGGAACAGCACCGTTGGTCGCTGGAAGAAACTGGCACTGCAGCGGCGGAGGAAGAGGACCCGGCATCTGCCGACTGTGTCGGCAGTGCTGGGGCCTCTGGCGTCCGAGGCAAGAAGGGCGGCAAGCGCCCGCCATCGACCCAGCCCTGGGACCGCCCGCCGACGGCGCGCGCGTCCGCTGGCGGCACAGGGCAAGGAGGCACCGGAGTGACGCGTCGTGGGAGGCAGGGGCCGCAGAGCTGGCAGGCTGTCACGCGTTGCCGAGGTGCCGAGCCGACGCCCCGGGAGCTCCCTCCCAGACCATCGCTGCCGACGGCTGCAGCATCGAGTTCTGTCCCAGACCCCGCGGTGAGGAGGAGCCAGCAGACGGAAATCCGATTGAGGGCTGCGGAGGAGGCAAATTTGGAGTCCCGAAACGGTGCGGTGACAGACCGTGCGGTGACCTCGGAATCCCCCAAAACCTCACCGCACGGTCCGTCACCGCACGGTCTTGGGACCCCGGAGGCCCCTGTCGCCCGAGACATCCTCGGAGAACGACCCGAGTCCCAAAACCGTGCGGTGAGCCCGAATCCCCACCGACTCACCGCACCGTGTGGTCACCACCCCGTTTTGGGGGCCCCCGAGCAGAGGACCCGCGCCCTCAGTGGCGCCGGGGCCCGCAGGAGCCGCTGGCCGTCGAGGAGCTCGCTCGGGACGGGGCTCGGGCAGCTGGCACAGCGCTGGTGCAGCAGCTGGGGCCACGACGACCAGGGGAGCGGAGACGGGCGCGGGGGCGAAGAGGAGCGGGGGGGGGGGGGCAAGTCGGATCTGTGCTCGGAAAGGCCCCCCGGGCGTGTTGGAACTGTGCTTCGAGCGTGCCGGCGTGGACCGCGGCGTGGCGGCAGGCTGCGACGACCGCTGGGCGGCGCGCGCCGGGCCCCGGCTCGGCTCGTCCCCCAGGGCCGTGTCGGGAGTGCTCCCTTCCCCTCCGCGTGCGCCGTAGACAAGCTGCTGGGGCTGGCGCCGCGAGGGCCGAAGTGCTCTGGGCAGGGGTGGAGTCTGGCTTAAGGCCCTCGGGACGTGCCGAACTCGGGCCCGTGCGTCCCTCCGGAGCTTGGGGCGTCAGCTATAGAATAGACGAGTGCGTTCCACTACTCGCAAAAGTAGCTGCTCGCGAGTGTCCTGGACGCCCCCCCCCCGGGGGATCTACGATACATGACATCAAGCCAGACATGTGTTTTTCGGACGCTTGCGAGTAGGCACTTTGCGAGTAGTGGAACGCGCTCGGTGATAAAAAGGCTGGCGTCCGCCCGTGCGCGGAGTCCCCGCGCCGGGGCCGGCCGCGGGCGGAGTCATCACTAACAAGCCCCTGGCCACCTTTTGCTGCGCCGCCTTCGCCCTCCAAGGAGGGGGAGGGGGAGGAGCGAGGAGGAGGGGGAGGAGGGGGAGGAGGAGCGATGGGGAGGCTGTGCGAGGAGGAGGAGGAGGAGGAGGAGGAGGAGGAGGAGGAGCAGGAGGAGCAGGAGGACCAGTGTAAACCCAAGACTCGTAGTTATTACTAAGGCTCCCCTCGCCACCTGCGCCAATGCGAGAGCCACATCTCGACCTCCATCAGTGAAACTGTTGTAGAATTTAAGCTCCATGCCCACCCGGCCCGCCCTACCGACCCGTCTCGGGGTGCGACAGGGAGGAGTTATTCATATGGAAGAGGGATTCAAAAGGGCGAGGTCGAGGAGGGAGGAGGCGCAGGAAGAGGTGTGGGCGATGCATCGGCGACGTCAGCGTGGAGAGAATCGGGCGCCACATCGAGTCGCATCGCCGATGTATCGACAGCGGGGGGCGTGCGGTGACCTTAGAATTCCCAGTGACCTCACCGCGCGGTCTGTCACCACAGGCTTTTGGAACCCCGGAGGCCCCGGTCGCCCGAGAAGTACTCGGAGAACGACCCGAGTTGGCCCCTAACAGATCGATTCGCCCCGAGAAACGCCTCTGAACGAGTGGGTTTAAGGCTCAGGTCGTGATTTTTGCTGCTGCTTTTTCGTTAGGACGCATGGCCACGGGGGGGCATGACATGTACCACCAAACCTATATTTTTGAACAAAATCACGATGATTTGTGCTTGTCGTTTTCGGCCTCTGGGGGCCCCCTCGCCAAGGCTCGGGAATGTCACACAACTATTCAAGATGGAAGGCCCGCAGGAGAGCCCAGAATCCAATCCATAAGTCGGATCAGTGATCGACATGAGTCAGATCGGCGGAAATCGGCAGCTGAGTCCAGAAAAGTCGAATCGACGAAATCGGCAGGCTCGTAGGCCTCCATTGCGAAATCAGAGCCCAAATCGGAATCCAGAGTCGAATCGAATCGGAATCGGAAGCCACCGAAATCGAATCGGATCGGATCGGGAGAATCGAAAAGAGCCCGGGCCGGCCCTGGGGAAGGGGTCGGGACTTCCGGGGGCACTGTCTCGGAAAAGTCTGATTTTTGTTGGTGTCGCTCACATGATGTACCCAGGGGCTCCGATCACTCAAGCCTTCGGCTATTCCCCCAGCAACCGCGCCCAATGCCCACCCCCAGGCTGTATCCGCCCCTTGTGCTTCCACCGCTTTGAGAAACAACAGAAAAAACGGCGGTTGGGCAGCAGCTTGCCCTGGCGCGGGTCGATTCGATCGATCCTCCCTCCTCCTCCTCCTCCTCCTCCTCCTCCTCCTCCTCCTCCTCCTCCTCCTCCCCTCCTCCTCCCCTCTGCGCTGGACCAACGTAGGCTAGCGAGAGCCGTGCGTCTTTCAAACTGCTCCTCTTGCGTTATCCTGCAGGCGGCGGGCTGGTCTGTCCACGGGCGCCCGACGGCCGTCGCTACCCCCTGACCTCCTCGTGCTCTGCCGGCCCCTCCTCCTCCTGCTACTCGGATGTCCCTCGTGGAAGACGCCGATAACCGTGCGGACCTCCGAACGTGTTTATCCCTACTTGTTACATTCGGCTCAGGGAGGGGCGCCCCCCCCCAAGGGCGATGCACCTCCGTTGAACCGTCGCAGGGGCAACGATTCTAGCCTGAAGACGGGCGTGTCACCCTACAGGGGGATGTTCGACGAAAACATACTCCAACAATACTCCAAAATGGTCAAACATACCAAAGAAATAATCTCCATACTATTTCTGTTGCTATCTTAATTTTGAATGTTCCTCCTGTAGAGGGACGGGCCCAACTTGATTCTAGCCACAGCGTTCCCCGAGGATTCGCCTCCAGGGCACGTCTGATTCGGGCACTTTACCTTTGGACTCCCCTCGCCTCCTCCTCCTCCGCCTCCTCCTCCGCCTCCTCCTCGCTCCCTCCTCCTCGCTCCCTCCTCTAGCTCGCTCCCTCCTCCTCGCTCCCTCCTCCAAGCCCGGAGATCATGCTTGTTGCTTCTTCGCAAGCAGGGCCCATGGAGGCCCCCGAGGCCCGGAGTACTGGCCTTCAGATTTCAGACGTGGCGACAAGCCCGCCACCTCGAGTGTTTATGACAGATGGGCGACGCAAAAAAGGGGTCGTCTTAGCCGATATTGGCGCGTAAGCTGCCCGCGTAGGGTCGCGCATAAGCGCCCTCGTCTCCAATCTGCGCTGGCGGCCCGCACGAGCTGCGGCATCAGGTTGCTGTGTCATCTCGCGAAAGAGCCGTTGTTGATCTTCGTTCGCATGAACAGAACCTTCTCGAATCCCTTCTGACGGGGGTGTCGGGGCGCATTCCAGAGGGGGGGGTCCCGAACTAGAGTTTCTGGAGTCTGGCCAGGACAACCTTTGTTAACCCTCACAAGAAACCTTCTTGATGAGGGGGGGCGCCACACGCCAGACCCCGAGATCCGAAGTCGCGAACGAAAAAAGTATTGCCATTCTCGAGCTGCATCTGTCTGTTCGATCAGTGCGAGCCCCGGGGGCACGAGCCCGGCCATACACGCCTGGCGTGGAACCTGCGGCGCCAGACTTCAGCTCGCTTCTCCTCCTCGGGGGTCGGTCGTTGCCTTGCGCCCTGCCGCCTGGCACGGCCGTCCCCTGAGGGGGCGGGTTGTGCCTCCTTCCCGTTCCTCCGGGCTCATCGTCGCTGCTCCTCCTCCTCCCCTTCCTCTTTCTCTTCCTCCTCTTCCTCCTCCTCCGCCTCCCTCCTCCTCCTCCTCCTCCTCCTCCTCCTCCTCCTCCTCCTCCTCCTCCTCCTCCTCCTCCATTCCTTCTCTTTATAAATAACTTCTTCCTGTCGCACCCCGACGCCAGTTTTTAGGGCGGGCCGGGCGTTTTGCCTGAGACTTCCTCACCGTTTATGACTCTGAAGCGGAACGATTGGCAGCAGTTTCGCATATGGAGGGCGGGTGGTTTTCAAAATGTGGCTCTCGCCTCAGCGCCGCACACGTTCTAAAAACATCCAAGAATTTTGCGGATTGAGGATCGCCCGTTTTTTAAGTGCGGCTCTCGCCTTAGCGCCGCGCACATTATTTCTAGCTTACAAGAGCTTCGCGGATTGAGGACAACCCGTTTTCACAATGTGGCTCTCGCCTTAGCGCCGCGCGCATTCGTTCTGAAAAATTGCAAGAGCTTCACGAATTGAGGGCGGCTCCTTTTCAAAATGTGGCTCTCGCTTCAGCGCCGCGCACATTCGCTCATCAAACTTGCAAAGTTTCACGGGTTCCCACGATCAACTTACCACAAAAAGTGCTTTGGAGATATTCAGGATTTTGCGGGTGCAACAATTACGTTGATTCGCGGTGTTGAAATCCGACGAATGGCGTGCTGGCACGGGCCAGGATCGTCAAAACGCAACAGTCCGGGTGATCCATGGCGTTGGAATCCCGAGAACAATGTTGTGGCATGCTTCCGGTCTTCAAACGGTTGTCTTCCAACGAGGCAGATCCCTCAATGGAAATGAACCGCTGTAGGGGCCCATGAAGAGGGAGCTTGGAGGGTGTGTATTCCAACATCGTTGATGGCTCTTGGGCTTACACTGGTCCTCCTCCTCCTCCTCCTGCTCCTGCTGCTCTTGCTGCTGCTGCTCCTCCTCCTCCTCATCGGCGCTGGTGGCATCGATGTCACACGTGACGCTGCCATCCTGTTTCTCCTCCTCCACCTCCTCCTCCACCCTCCCTCCCTCCCTCCTCCTCCGCATCCTTCTCCCCCTCCTCCCGCGGACTTCAGCATCGCACCTCATCCCTTCGGCGTGGCGGATCTCCCCGCTTGCTCTGTTACCCTCCTCCTCTTTTTTTTCCTTTCTTCTTCCCCCTTCAAGGCTCTGGCACGAATCCCGTCAATTCCAGGCTGGGTCCTGCCCTGTGGAAGGCGGGATTTGTTTTTGCAACTTGTCACATTCCGTTTTAGAGCCTAGCGCGCCAACCGTACTCGACGATCAACCGCGTCCTACGGGATACGGCGTAATCGCCTTGGCGAAGTCCTCGTGAGCACGCACCGCATCGTCGATAACGCTATCGGAGTGCAGACCGCGAGAGCTCCTCTCATTTGTTCTGATTTGTCTTCAGTTGCATTCATTTCAGTGTTGGCTATCGATCTGCAGTCACACCGGTCATCAAACAACTGGTTGCCTACATCTTCCCCTCCGCCACGTCGTGATCAACAATCAGCAACACCTCTGGCTACGCAGACGCCTTCACCCGTCAAGCGCTCGTCATCTGCATCAGCGGGGGACCTTCAATTACGGTGTTCGGTAAAGGAACCCGTCTTCTCTCGTCGTTGCCAGCTGACCCTGCGTTGCTTCTGTCGCAAACTTCGCCTGCTCCCGCTCCTGATTCCAAATCAAGCAGGAATGCGTGGCCCAGACAGTGTTGGGCAGGGGGATGAAGTAAAGCCCCCGCGCCACCATCATCTTGCCCATCTTCATCTGATCAGGTGAGCAGTTGTGCGCCTGGCTCGCAATCGTATGGTCGGCCTTGCATGAGTACACAACCCCTCGCCTGCCCCAGTGGGATTCCCCCAGTCGGGCTCCAGGTCCCCCAACGTTGCTCAGGCGATTTGGCAAAGCCACTTCGTAGACATGTGCAGGGTGAGTGTCGGTTTCGCAATGATGAAGACGCTTCCTCGCCTCGTCACATGCGTCCGCCGCGCGCCCTCGAGGGGCGTGGCCCCGCTCAAGCTGTTGCAGCGAGTACGGAAACGAGGATGACGGAAGGAAGGAAGGAGGACGGGGGAGGAAGATTTTTTTTTTCTTTTTTTTGTTGTTCTCTCTCTCTCTGCCCATTCAGACCAAATCCCACAAGCAGTTTCAAGGAAAACTGATCCTGGGTTTGGGGAAACCATCAATATATTCCCGCCCCTCCCTGGTGATTTGCAAGCCTGCGAGGGCTGATGCCCGCAGACTGGGGCAAGCGCGGGGGTGCGGCACGATGCCGAAAGGCCACTCACGTCGCCAGGACCCAGCACAACACGAACGAGCATGCCACATCTGTGATCCACACCTAGCAAAGCTCCTCGGCGGCGTCAGCGATGATGAGGTTTCCAATCTCTGACTTCTGGAGGGGGGAAGAAAGTGTCAGTGTCATCTGCGAGCTCATACTCAATTGCGTACTTTGCGGCGCCATCGAAATAGACGCCATACTGAACACGGAATGAAGAATCGGGCCCCTGCCGAAGGCGCATGACCAAAGGCCCAGACATTAGGGCATTGCACACCGATGGCAGGGGCCCCAACCTGTGTGAACAACTCATTGTTTACGTCCCCGAGCTCCACCTCCAAGCTGCCTCACCACGTTGCCTCGTGGGGCCCGACCTCCAAGTAGCTGACCGCCCATGCTCCTCAGCGCCCCCGCGAACAGGGTCTCCACTGGCACGAGCGCCCCTTGTAACTTGAACATCTCCGTAGGCTTTTCCGTCGGGCTGAGACTGTGCAGCTCGCTGTCCTTCTCCTTCACCGCCTTCAGGGGCGTCTCGTTCACTCCCTGATCCTTGGAGAGTAGCACCTCTCCTTGGAAACTGCGCATCATGCGGGCCCTGCTCTCCTTCCCTGGCTTGTCGAAAGTCGGCAACGCCATCAGCTCCAGGATCTACTTCTCCGCGCCCTGAGGCGCGCCGTACCCCGACATGGCTTGCAACCGCTTGAGCGCCGCCAAGACGCTCTGGAGGCGGAGGGGGGCGTCCTTGCGCTCGAAGCTCGAGATAGCTTCGAGAGCTCCGAAAAGGCAGTGGAACGCTGGCGTGCCTATGTCTGCCCCCTCCGCCGCCTCCTTGCGTTTCTGCACGAACGCCTGGAAGCTGTCGCTGATGGCCTTCGCGATCGGCGTTTGCTTGGCGATGAGTGATGCGCGGTGCGCTTCGTTCGAGTGTGCGCGCTCGGCCTTCCAACTGAATCAGCAGCGCCTGCATGGTGGCCATCGTGCTGTCCACCTCGTCCTCGTCCTCGTCCATCCCGTCTACCCCTGCCTTGTGCTTCTTGGACGCCGAGCCTCCCGCCCCGCCTATGCTGCTTCTCGCGCTTGCAGCTCGCGCACCAGGGCGTGCTATCCACGACTGTGGTGCCTCGCTCATCCTGCTGCATCTCTCTGATATAGAATGAAGGTGCGAGAAGTGGTTGAAGGTGATCTCTGCAATGCTTGAAGAAATCGGCTACGGTGGCGGAGACCTCGAGGCAGAGGGGGCACTTGAGACTGGAGGGCTCCTCGAGTGGACTTGAATAGCTGGCCCTCGATTTAGGGCAATACCCTCGTGTCATGCTTGCTGC